GGAGAAGTGTCCCAGGAGAGTGACGACAGCTGTTCCTTTCCAAGCTACTTCTCTGAGGGTCTCTCCAGGCTGGGGCATGACCTTTCCAGGACACTCTCCTGCTGATGATGGATGCAGATCCCTTGCCTCATCCGGGGCTATTACACTACTCCCTGTGGTTCCCTGTCCACGCCTTTGTCAACAGTTAGAAATATCTCCCCAGATTTCCCAATTTGAAACCTCTGAATTGGTATACTGGTAAACCAGCTCTCCAAAGAAACAAAAGCCCTGATTTGTGGTGTCTGTATATTTCATCACTGTAAATACTCCCAACACTGCCGTGAATTTCTAGCTCCTGATGCTATAACAACTGGCTTGCAAAGGCCGAAACAAGGCAGTGTGAGCCAACCCTGCACACCAAGGGACCCTGGCTCACATAGGCGTCTCGGGCCCCGACCTCTGCTGCAGCTGCCTTAAGAGCTGATACAAGTTTGCTGTGTATGGGAGTCACCACCCAAGGCCACAGCTAAACAGAGGTGAGCAGAACCACGAAGGTGGCATTGCTCATGTTCTGAGCTCCACAAGCCCCAACAGTGCTCTTTCTCTTTTCAAGGTTCAAATCCGGCCTGGTGCAGGGCTAGAAATTGCTAACTGTTGCGTCTTCTACTTCTATAGTCCCCCCACCCCTGTCCCCTAGGGCTGTCCTCATACTCATTAGGTTATAGACACAATCTACACCGATGAGCCGAGGCTGACGCACACACGCACATGAGCAGGCACTGTTCCTGAATCTCCCACTGCACGGCTATCATGAAATCTATCGTGGGTTAGCCATAGAACGGGAATTGTACAACCTTTTTAGAGAAAATGTTTTATGGCAAGGAGAAAAGATTGCAATGTTCTGTTACATGAAAGAGCGAGAGTTTTTTTTTTTTTTTTTCTTCCTCCAAATACAAAAGCACAACAGCAAACCTCTGAGATTCTCTGTTTATTCTTCGGGGTGCTACAGATGTGGCAGTGAACGAGAACAGTCCCAGTCCCTGATCTCAGAGAGCTGGCACCAAGGTGGGGAGACACGTTGACAGAGGCAGCACTTCATGAATAAATGCTACACCGTGAGGAGAGGTCGTGCTCGGAGGGAGATGTGCTCGGGGCTTGCAGCATGCTGGATCAAAGCGGAGACCTGGCCCAGGAGGATGAGGAGGGTGGCTCAGGGGACAGGGGGAGGAGGACTCCCCTGGATAGAATCCCACGGAAGGGGAGGAGCTCCCCAGGAGGAAGGACAGGGGTGCATGTGTATGGAGGAGCGGGCAATGTGTCCTTCGCGTGTGTGAGGCTCTGCCTGGAAGGACACACCTGCTCTCCCCAGCAAGCCTCCTTAGCCTTGGGTCTCACCTTCTTCCCGCACTTCCGTACTGTCCAACTTCTCTACAGAGTTGGGAGGATTTTGCAATGGGGAAAAACATAAAACAACCCAACCTTACTGCTCAGACAGGAGCACTCTTTATTTATTTATACTCTTCCTTGTTTCAAAGAGGATTTTCAAGCTGCAATTGGAACAATTGTTAGAATTATGCTAACAACATCGCAAGCTAAAATAGCTTGTCATTAAGTAAGAAAAATGAGGTCAAGGGAAAATAGGATAGAAGGAGTCAGAAGGAGAAAGGAGAGAGGTGTCCCCTCGCACCGCAGGGGACACCGCAGGGGACAGCCTTATCGTGTTCTTTGTCGTGTCTTGTCTTGCCATTTCTAATAGTGACATTTAATTTTCCTGTTCTTATACTTGGCCTTCCACACGCTACCAAGAAACATTCCACTGTTAATTCCTCTGCCTTTTGTTACGCTCTCTCCCCCTTAAAATACATCATTTTCTTTGTTGTTTTGCATTTTTGCACTTTCAAAAATTCAACATCTCTTTCCCATCGGGAAGGGCCCATGTCTGATTCAATGCGGGGCGGTGATGTATTTAGAGCATCCAGGTAGTAGGTGCTCAGCTGCCTGGACCGAGGTGACCCGAATCCTTTCTCGGTAGCACTCAGCCAGGGGCGTGCACTCAGCAGGGGCTCAAGAGCCTGTTGCCAATTTGATTTATGGGCCTTATTATTCCAAGTGTCGGGAGAGAATAGATATTGATTGCAAAGGGCTTAAATAAATAAGTGGATGCATAATCTAGAAGGGGTTGTAGACTGAGGTGAGGGGTTTGTAAAGCAGCTGAAGCAGATGTTGTCATAAACACTGGTCCTCTTGAAAACTGTTCTCGTGGGAGTCGTGGGGCAACCAGGGGCAGGGGTGGGCTGTGGAGTCAGTGGGCATAGCTTCACATCCAAGCTCCATCATGCTACTTGCTAGGGGCAAGACCTCAGGCAGGTCCCTTTGCCTTCTGCTTTCTCAGAAGGATCAAAGTCTTTTGCTGGCATTGTGGAGAGGAATGCGTGTGGGTACGGTGCTTGCATATGTATATGTATATGCATATGTGTGTGGTATCTGGCTGCCCTGGCACATAACAGGTGCTTAATAACCAAAAATACCCTCCTATATCACTGCCCTTCTATTCCATTTGTGCAATAATGTGTGACGTGGTAATACGATAAACCATCTCTAGATTCCCCCATAACACTCCCTAAAGTACCAAGAAGAGTAACACTCCCTCACCTTTAAATCACAGTGTGCCAGTTACTATGGTTGCATAACAACTTACCCCAAAACGTAGTAGCATGAAACATCCGTTCATTCTGCTCGTGATTTTATAAATGGGGAATTCAGAAAGCGCCCAGAGGAGCTCCTTGTCTCTGCTCCATTGCGTGTGGGGCCTCAGCTGGGAGACTCGCAGGCTGGGGGCTGGGGGCTGGGGTTGTCTGCAGACTGGTGCACGTCTGCTGAGAGATGCCAGCTGTTGGCTGAGACCTGGGCTGGGGGTGTCAGCTGGAACACGTGGCCTCGGCTGCCTATACCACGGTGGCTGGTTCTAAGGGAAGCATCTAGAGAGCGTGCCCAGTGGAAACAGAATCCCTGTCCTGACTTAGCTTTGGCAATCACGCAGTGGCACCACTGACACATTCTATGGCTGAGGCAGTTCCAAAGCCTCATCCAGGTTGAAGAGGAGACATAAATGCCTCTCTTGGTAGGTTAGTGTTGACGTCTCATTGTGAAAAGAGCACATGGGACAAGATGCATGTTGACAAATACAATCTCCACGCCATGTGTTGAGGGGCTTAGTAGATCTCTCGTTCCCCAAAGCACCAAGGTCTAGGTACGATTATCCCCATCTTAGAGATGCACAAACTAAAGCTCGGAGAGGCAAAGTAACTTGCCTTGGCAGTTTATTTAAGTTCTCTGAACTTCAGTTACCCCTCTATAAAATGGGTAGAAAAATCTCTACCTCAATTGATTACTGCAGACCTTCAGTGTTGGAAGGTTGGAGTCCAAGAAAGTGTTTGGTGATCTCGTGCCCCATACTAATGTGAAGCACCAATGTGACTGCTGTAGCACCATTATTTCCTTACCTTCTTCCCTGGCCATCTGTCAGACACAACCCCACAGCCTGAAAGGATCTGGGTTTTCCTCCACATGCCCTTGAGAGCGAGGTTTGTACACCTTTTGGCCGTGGCTCACTTAGGTGCAGCGGGAGCTCTCAGAAACCCCCTTCCTTGCCTGTTCCCATCTTCCAAGAGGAAAAGACCCTTAGGAAGAATGTTGATGTTTGTTTATAAATTCCAAATAATGCTTAGCCCTTAATAACTCATTTAGTGCATTATGAGTAAGTAGCACATTGGTCATACTTAGTGGTGGCAGTCAGCTGCCCTGTGTATCTCTCCCCCAGGGGAGCAGAAGGGAGGGCCAGTGTTTCTGGATTACTTCATGGGCTCTGTGAAAACTCTTCTGGCTCTTGAATGGACCAAGGATCATCCTTGGAAAATTACTCTTCTGGGAATCAATTCCAGATCTATTTCCCTCATTGTCAACCTGCCTGCAAGGTCTAAGGCTGGCCTTAAGAGACCCCCATGTGCTGTGATGCCCATTAAATGGTGTACTCTCCTGTTCAAACGTGGTGCGATTCAATTAGGGACGGGGTGGGAGAAAGGCACTGAGCCTGGAGACAGTGTCGGGGAGGCCCGGATGGTGGCTCTCGGCCCTCACTTCATGCCTGCTGGAGGCCCCACAGTGGCTGGAGCAGGACTGAGGGAGGTGCTGGGCTGCAGCAGTCTCCTTGGGGTTAGGGGCACTCGGGGTGACCTCTAGAACTTCAGGTGGCAGGCAACCCTACAACAGAGGTGAGTGTTAATGTCTTAGAGCAGCTTCAGGGTCAACAGGAACAGCCAAGGCTGTGCAATTCGGGAGGCCCAGGTTTGAATCTGGCTCCAGCCCCCAAAGGAGAGCGAGCCTGGGACCAGTGACATCAAGCTTCTGAGCCTCAGTTTCAGTGTCTTCATCTGGTCACTGAGTGAAATGAGAGGCAGAGATGTGCTACCCTCCAGCATCGTGTCTGGCACTTAGGAGAGGCTCTGTATCCAAGTTTGTTTCTGCTGCCAATTTTTCATCCTTACAAAATCCACAGAGTGACACCTAGAAGCATTTTTTTTTTTTTTTTTGCTTACAAATGCTGGTGTTCATCTGTCTTAGGGACAGGAACAAATCTCTGCCCATGTGCCCAAAGCCTATTTTGACAATCTCTGGAAGGCCCTCCAGCCAGACCACGGAGTTCTCACTACTCCCAGCTTCAGCTCAGTGGGTCCTTAAAAGGTGGGTTCTCTTCCTTGCCATTAATCCCCACCATCTCTAACCCATTTCACTACCCTGGACAAAGTAAGTTTTTAAAACTCCAATAACACACGTGAGAAAATTGAGACTCAGAGAGGTGCCATGACTTGCCCAGGGGCTTATAGCACGTAAGTCCCAAAGGCAGGAGGGCTTAGTGCCTCCGGAGTGGATATGCCAGGGGGTGGTGACAAGCCCCACCTCCAGCTCAACTCCTCCTCTCTTCCTCATGCCAACAAAAGGAAAATGATTTCCCATTCCTGGCTTCTCTGTCAGCCCAGAGAGACTGAGTGAAGAAGAAATACTTCCACACATACCAGGCTGCTCTTCTGCTGTTTCTCAGTTTTGCTGTCTGTGATTGTTTGAAATCAGTTTCCTGTGAGAGTCTGGGAAATGCAGGTATGGAGGCCCGGGTAACAGCTGCCATCTCAGGCCTGGGTACCTGCTCTCCCAAGTCTATGTCTCAAGGCTGTGTGCTCAGACATGACCATGTTTGGGCATAGAGGCTCGTCCCAGATGGGCACCAATGGCTGCCTCCCTGGAGACAGGCTGGGAGGCCAGACTTTCTGCTGGATTTCTGTGGCCTCTTTGGGGGTGGGGGTTGGGGGCCAGGCAGAAAGAAACTGTCTGCCAGCTGAAAACCCACGGGGCACAGGGAGACTGTGAGTACTGCACCCGAGAGCACTTTGGGATGTGATTTCTGCAGACTGGGGTGCGGGGCTGGAGGGAGAGCCAGGGGGAGAACAGCCTGTGATGGGGCAGAGATGAGGGCAAGTGGTGGGAACTCATTTCCCTTCGGGATTGTCAGTCAGGATGCTGGGCCTGTCATCTGCTAGTCATCTGGGGGATGGGAGGTGGTTCAGTGGCCGGATCACTGTGGTAGCTCAGTAACCTGGCCCTCCAGGTCCCAGCTTCCAGAATGGCCAGAAGGTAGCAGCCTGGAGATCAAGATCAGTCTTGGCCCTTGTCACCAGTGGGGAGTGGGTGGGGGGCAATAGAGTAGTCCAGATTTCTGCTCCAAACGTTCAGGATAATAATAACAATAGCTAATATTTATCAAAAGCTGATACTGGGCCAGACACTGGGATAAATGCATTGTCCTCAATGTATCATTTGATCTTTATCAGAACTCTCTGAGGCAGGTACTATTATTCTCATTTTTCAGTAAGTTGGTTGCTAAGTGGCCAAATCAGGATTTGATCCCATATTCAATGACATGCTCAACCCTCCCTGTCCCATATCCCACCAAATTCTTAAACACTTGTCTGTTCTTCTAAGGAAAGGGTTGTCAACCCGATTATCAGGTCACACTGGACTCTCCAAAATCTTGCCTCCCTTTGCCCTCTCATCTTCCCTAAACTCATCCCAGACCTCAAGTGACCTTTCTAAATTGGAAGAGATAGCCCCAAAGCCCAGAGATATTAGAGGAAATATGAGGAAGTTCTTCCTAAAGTCTAACTTAAATCCTCCCTGCTGTAGCTAAAACTCATTTTTCCAAGCCTCAGAGGACATCAACAGTTCTCATTCTTCCTCCTGACTGAAGGCTCTCACTTCGGATGATGAACCTCAACTTCTTGCCCAAATCTTGTATCTAAATAGGACCCCATAGCCTTTGTCACGACTCTACAAACCCACTCACTTGGTGTAGGCAAGCAGTCTTATCAGAGCACTATGGACAGGTGGACCTTAACAAGCCTGTCCAGATTCTCTGTGATGGGCAAGTCTCCTTTTTCCTTTCTTCCTGAGTTCCTAGGACTAATAAAACCAAGGCTCCCTTCTTCACCTGCCTCACGAATCCTCAGGGGTCTACAAAGACATAAAAAATGGAGGAGGCAGTGCCCCTGGGAAGTGGGGGCTGCTTAGGCAGGAAGGGGAGCCCCCACAAGCTGGCACCAGCTTCCCCAGAGGAGATCAGGTTTGTTGCAGGCACTGAGCCAAGGCTTTCCCTAGTGCCAAAGTATTTGTATTTTCCCCAGGTGCAAGTGACCCCTGAAAGTCCTGGAGAAGCAGGTGGTTGGGGCCTTTTGGGCATCTCCAGGTGATCTGGTTACTTTAAACAAACAAACAAACAAAAAGAAAAACAACAACAACAAAGAAATGTCCAGAAGGCTAGGACAGCTGGCAGAAGGTAGGAGATCTCAGGAGGCTTTGTGGCTGCAGGAGGCATGGATAGAGGGGCTGTTTCACACCCCTGAGCGAGTGTCAGGGGCCAGGAGGGGAGGTTAGGAATCTGTGCCTGCCTTGGTGTGGGGTAGATACCCAGAAGGCTATAGCCAGAAGTAGCGGGAAAGAAGGAAAACCAGCAGCAACTTCCCCCATTCTGCGGCGGCCCAGGAGGCTTCAAGTCCTGAAGCCAGAAGGCAGCTGCTGAGGTCATCCCAATGTCTTCTTTCTTAATAAAAAACCTGAATGTGGGAAGCCTCCTGTCCTACCAGCCTTTGGCTGCCTTCCAGGGCCCACTTCTCCCCTCTCTGCCTGCTGCTGAGCCCAGCCAGCCCTGTTGTGGGATTGTTTCTTGATAGAAATTCTCTCAGTTTCTCTCTAAGTGTCCTAGGAGAATGCATGGCTGATCCACCTGTGTTACTTATTCATTGTATTAGTTTCCTATGGCCCTCGTAATAAATGACATAAATTTGACAGCCCAAAACAATAGAAATGTAATCTCACAGTTCTGAAGCCGGAAGTCCAAGATCAGCAAGAAGACCCATCCTTCTTTGCCCCCTTCCGCTCCCGGTGGTCACCCGTCCTCACTGCCTGTGACAACCCAGTCTACCCTAATCTCTGTCTCCCTGATCATATCACTTTCTCCTTTTCTTCTTTATCTACTCTCCCTCTACCTCCCTCTTCTAAGGACCCTTGGATTTACACGTTGGGTCTGCATGAATAATCTAAGATCATCTTTCCATCTCAAGATCCTCAATCACTTCTGCAAAATTATTGCTATATAAAGTAACATACCAGGAGAGTTGGACCTTAAGAATTCCATGGCTTAGAACATGAAAATCTTGTGGTCATTACTGCACCTATCACACACTGTGACCTAGAGGAAGCCACTTTTCTTCTCCGAGCCGGAGGTCCTTCATCTACAGTTGCCTCTCAGAGCTGGTGCAAGGCTTAGGTGGGGTCAAAAAAGCCCTCTGGAAGTTGTAAAGCACCACATGTAAGTAGGAGTGAGGTTGACATTTGATTACCCCCTTCTCTCACCTGTCCTCCCTTCTCTGAATTACTGTCACCTGAGCTGATCTCACTTCTTTTTGCCTCTGTGGCCCTAGAAATGACCGCTGCCCCCAGTGGCCATGGGGAAGAAGCTGGTGATGGCCCAGAAACGGGGAGAGACTCGGGCCCTTTGCCTGGGCGTGGCCATGGTGGTGTGTGCTGTCATCACTTACTACATCCTGTGCACGACCGTGCTGCCCCTCTACCAGAAAAGGTACTGAACCCTCCTGACCCGCACCCCCAGCTCTCCCCAAGGGTCTGGAGTCTGCCAGAAACCGCAGCCTTTTACATATCCTCCCCTACATCCTCATAGCAGGCAGGATGGTTGAGACAATGTTCCTTCTTAAGTTCAAGGGTTCAAGCCTAGGGAAGGTGGGATGGACTAAGCCCCTGTAGTCTGAGATTCTGGGACCTGATGGTAATAGATCCAGGCTGCCTTTCTCTTCTTTCTTTTTTTTTTTTTTTTAAGAGACAGAGTCTCACTCCATAGCCCTTGGTAGAGTGCTGTGTCATCACAGTTCACAGCAACCTCCAGCTCTTGGGCTTAGGCGATTCTCTTGCCTCACCCTCCTGAGTAGCTGGGACTACAGGTGCCCGCCACAACACCCAGCTATTGACCCAGGCCGCCTTTCTCACAAAAAGTCCAGTGTGAGTTTAATCCCAGGAGGACTCAGAGAATGACAGATGTTTATAGCCCAGTGGCATTGTTCTCTCCCTTCTGAAACCTCTTTGTCGCGGGGTATCCAGCCTCCTGGTAAATACCTCAAGTGATGGGGATCTCACTACCATCCTGAGCTCACCATTCCGTGTTTGGGCTTTCCTGATAAGCAGGCAGTGTCTACATGGAGCTGGCGTCTGCTCCCCGGGAGCTCTGCTGAGGAATCTCAGAGAAGGTTCCACATCCTTTCTCCCTGACATGTCCACTACTCAAGGTTTTAAAGAAGAGCCATGAAATTCCTGATTCATGTTCTGTTTGGAACAGACACACTTAGTACTCTCAGCCCGTCCTTAGAACGTCTCACCCTCCTCCGGGTACGTTCTAGCTGCTCACAGCCTCTCCTGTCTGGCAGTGGGCCCTGCAGGATAAAAGGGAGGTGAGTCACAACTGATTCACTTGCACGTTGTGAGCCTGTTGGCCTCTCCCGGGCCTGCTCTGTCCTTGTCCTCATCGTTGACAACACCAGAGTGATTCCAGGCTGCACGCTCAGCCTAGTGAGGTATCACTCCGAGCCCATCTCCATCAGCTTCCCAGCCTCAGATTGGGCCCCTGTGACACCTGCTTCTTTTAGGAGAAAGAGCACAGACTCTGAAGTCACTCAGACCTAGATTCAAATGCTCTGTGGCCATCTGACCTTTCTGAGCTTCTCTTCCACCTCTGCAAGATGAAGCCGATGTGCAGAAGAAAGTCTCAGGCCTTGCTGAGCAGAATCACTTCTGGGAGCTTCCTAAAAAGTGCCAGGGCCCAACCACCTGAGAAATTCTAATTCACTTGCTCTGGGGTGTGGCTTGGACATGGGAATCTTTTTATAAAATCTCCAGGTTTAAGGGCGGCATCTGTGGCTCAAAGGAGTAGAGTGTCGGCCCCATATACTGGAGGTGGCAGGTTCAAACGCAGCCCTGGCCAAAAACTGCAAAGAAAAAAAAAAGAAAAAAAAAATTCCCAGGTTTGTAGATGAGTAGCAGGGTTGAGAACCATCTGTGTAGACGCTGTCAAGCCCCTCCCCCCAAGCTATGATATTCTGATTGCTCCCTGCTCTGGGAGGGGCTCTGGGGTCCTGCACTTTTAGTGCTGCACACCTATGGCCGGGTAAGGGTCCCAGCTTTGGGTCTCTTTAAAAGTGCCTAAGGGATCAGGGGCTCAAACCAGGTTCTGTAGGTGTTACTCAGTTCTGAAATGTGCTTGTGTGGTCTCCCCAGTGTGTGGACCCAGGAATCTACGTGCCACCTGATTGAGACCAACATCAGGGACCAGGAGGAACTGGAGGGCAAAAAAGTGTCCCAGTACCCCTGCCTGTGGGTCAACGTGTCAGCTGTGGGCAGGTGGGCTATGCTGTACCACACGGAGGACACTCGGGATCAGAACCAGCAGGTACTGAGCTAGAAGGATGGGTACACATTTTTGTGTCCCTGGTCGGCATGGGAGCCTGCCCTCATCTGTCCCGGTCTCCAGGGCTGGGAAAGATTAACTCACTTGTCCAGGGTCCCACAGATGGAGTGAGGTTGGGCCAGCCCTCGTGCCTCTGTGCTGGACTCAGACAGACTTGGGTTCAAATACACCACTATCTGGCTGGGTGACCTGGGTGTGCCCCTCAGCCACTCCGCACCTGTTTCCACCTTTGTGAAGTGGGATACTAACACTTACCTTGTGGTATTGTGCTGTGGTCAGAGACACTGTGTGTAATGTGCCAGGCTCGGCACGGGGGAGAGAGTGGGAACTCAGAAAAAAGCAGCCATCAGTGTTACTGCTTCCTGTCCACACACTGAGCTGACCCCATGGAGTGGAACCCCTAGGGCTCCCCAGGAAAACAGAGACCTGGGGCTGAAACAACCACCATAGACATTCAGGCGGTATTCCCATTCTCACCTCCCAGCATCTCACCACCCTCCCCCTCAAACCCCCAAATCCACCATCATAGCCCTCCCTGGAAAGGAAATATCAGCGGGCTCGTTTTCTTCCTTCCTCCCTTCCTCTCTTCTTTCCTTCTCTCTATCTTCCTTCCTTCTCTCTCTCTTCCCCCCTCCCTATCTTCCTTCCTTCTCTCTCTCT